TCTCTGGCCTTCAAAGAAGGTTTCACCCAAAACCTCCTAGGCTTTCTCTGTTTCGCTAAAATGACACATGCAGCAGCAGCAAGAACCACCTCCTCTACACTAGACATCCTGAGAGGCAATGAGGACTGGGCGGACCGGTGCGGCGCGGCGTTGGCGGGAATGGCAAGTTGGTAACATTTTAAAGTCTCCAAACGGAATGTTAATAACATTTTTTTTGATAACTTTTGTTATCAACTTGTGTTGCTAACAAAAATGTTAGTAACATTTGTTGGTAACTCCGGTGTAAACGCGGCTTGAGAGCAGAAATGGCTTTCGCGATCCATTGACTGTTCTAGAACGTTCAATTCTTATTTCTTAACCATAGACAAATAGAATAAATTTAGACCGACAGCAGTGCTGCGGTTAGCATAGGTTCCGGCACCAACCGCTAGGAGTGCTGTGTGGTTACGGTGCACAGTGCTGCTATGGCTGCTAGTAGCATACGGCTCTTGCGCTCCTCGTCTGCACTCTGCCGCGGTGTGCGCCGTAACTACACGACTGGGACGGGTGGCGTCGTCCTGTAATCCAGCTACTAGGAGGTCACGAATTGTGGATATTTATAGGCATGCACTGTGGAAGTGATACTCCCTAGTGTGGATTTAACGTCCGCGCGAGTGAGTACTACGACTATCCGCAGTACTATCTTGATAATTAGACCAATTCTTATATACCAAGGCAAAAATGTGGTTCGGATTCCACTATAAACTGTAGGTCCAGTTGCCATTAAGCATCCCATTTAAGCGTCCCATTTAGCTGTATGGGCTATTAATTAACAGCTGTGTTAAGGAATGTCGGCCTTAGTCACTAACAAAAGTACAAGATCGCGCCACTCATCCTACACTCATTTCCATTCATTTTTGGCTTAAAATACCTACTTTGTATGGTCGCGCCATTTCATTGAACAGTATTAACACTCCTAGCGGTAGGCACTGGAACCATTCGTTGTCAGTTTATTATATTTGTCTATGCCTTAACTGAATATGCTGGTCTTTTTTCTTTTTTAAAAATAAGTTCTTTTAACATTTCAAAATAGCAAATTTTGAGTGAGTAAGTATTCCCATGTAGCACAGATGGTTGGGCCAACGTTGGTAAATTGTGGAGCCACACAGTTGGCCAACGGTAGAAATGTCACCTCTTTAAACTGTTTTCCAGCCAACCTTTGTCCAACAATGGCCCAACCAAAATTATTTCACACAAAATAATAAAGATTTAGTACGAAAAGCATAATTATTAGTTGAGTAAATTGATTAAATAGTTCATAAAAACAAATTTTGAAAAAAAGCTGGAACAAAATTTTTTGGCCCAGACGGGTCTCGAATCCGGGTCCTTCGACTTATGAGCCTCTTACCTTACCACTGAGCTATCTGCGATTGTTGATACAGAGAGTTTTCAAGTGGTGAAAGAGTAGCCGACAGTTGCAATGGTCGCAATACTTCAAACATTTTTGATACTACACAGTATAATATGATTCTGTTAATCTGTTAAGGCATCATAAGTAGTTTTTTTTTTTTGAGTTAGAGAGGATACTGGTATTTGAATATAGATTAATTAATTACCGTTAGATTATTAATGCTATTATAATTGACTGTTATATGATTAATTACTCTTTCCCCTTAAATTGTTGCAAATAAGTTAAAGAATATTAATTTAAAAAATATTTGCATTATTATAATTATTAAAATTCATTGTTGTAGCCCCGGAACTGTAATATATAAAATATCTGGTTTTACAATACCTTTATCAGTTCCAAAAACTTTTGGAAACTTTTGGAACTGATAAAGGTATTGTAAAACCAGATATTTTATTATAATTATATGTTGTGAAAGCTAGACCCAGAGAATGAAAGTCGTGTAAACTCAACTATGGACCATCGTTGGTCCAACAAAAGTATCTTTTGTTGGTCCAACGGAGTGAAAAACGGTTGGACAACGGTTGGCTTGATGTATGATACCCAACAATGCATATTAATGTATTTCATTAACAATGAACCGATGTTGGTCCACAGTTGTAATATTGGTTGGCCCAACTACGAGATATACAGTTGGACAACGGTTGGTTGGTTGTGGAAGCTCCAACCAACCATCGACCAACTGTCCCACAGTTGGCCAACGTTGGCCCAACCATCTGTGCTACATGGGTTTCAAGATGGCTTCTTTCTAGAAAAAAGTAACTGTTCCCTTTGCATTATTTTGTAATACTGGAACTGCAACGGGAACGGGTTGTGATGTCATTTTGTCATTTTGACGTGCGAATAGTCACTTCGAACCAATTAATATCTCTAAACCAGAAAACTTGACTATTTTTACCATAGCTTGAAAACTGAAAAGAGGTCAAATAACTTAGTACTGTATTTATTTACTGTCAAAAACAATTTATAATGTTTCAAAATAACTTAAAATACACCAGGTTTTAACGTGCAATACCTTAAGGTATTGAAACAAGTCCTTGAAACAACGGATACCCCAAAATAAATAGTGGTTAGGTTAGAATGAATTGGAATTTGACAGCATCCCACCAACCGATCACACGCCCAACCTAACAACACTAAACACCGAAAGGCGAAAACAAACCAGTAAAAACAGTGGCACGTTCACTAATGTTTAACCAGAGAATAGTGACTCGCAGTTGAGCCTATTTTAATTTTTAAAGAGATTCCGCACATCTACAGAAAAATATCTTTATGCCACACTACACTATTTTGACGAACTTCCCACGCAAGGATTTAGTCCAAAAAAAGCTGTTTGCCGCCAGCTTAATCAAATGGGGTTTCATTGCATACTTCGAAAGGCGGCCGTGATACCATAGTTTTATATGGTTTTTTCTATGGTGATACTAAACTGTACCACTGTAATAAGTTTTACCGGACACCAATCAGATTATTAAACTGTATTTGGGTGGCAAACAAAAACATAACCTCTCTTAGTGGTTATTGGATAGTGATTTTTAGTCCTTTTGTTGGTGGTTATATGTAAGGATGTATAAAATGTACAGATTTAGTGGTATGGCGTAAACTATCGTACATAGCCTAACTCGTCCAAAATGCGTTAACCGTACTCGACTTCGTCTCACTCGGGAACGACCACTCTTGTCCGGTAAACACTTATTTTCAGGACTAGTAACGTAATATAATATTTTAACAGTAAACGTAGATTTTCCCTGCGATGCACACGAGCTGAGAAAAAAGGTTTTAAAGAAACATGCTTGCATAGTGGTCTTTGAACAATGTAATGTAGTAGACTCACTGAGTAGACTAAGTTTGCCGTTTGCCTGCGCTGCCTCACGGCCACTTTTAACTACAGGCCGCGGCCTTGTACAATTGACAACGTCGCAAGTGGTGTTGATTAATGATTTGTGACAGACGTCCCATAAGATAACATGGAAGACAGGTGATATCAGCTCATTAATTCGCACTTTATTGATTTAAATTTAAATTTATGAACATAAATTTATAAAAATATTGAAAATAAAACATACAGAATTGAAAAACGAAACAATGAATTAAAAATCTATATCTGTACATTTCAAGCGGAGTAAATATTGTCATAGTCCAGTAAACAATCTTTCGTAAATATACCACTGAGCTATAATAATATAACTGGAGTAACCACTCTGTGTTTTAAAAACGTACCACTGTTTTTGATGTTTTTGTTTCAGAGCTTCGTGTTGTTAGGTTGGCCAGGTAATCGGTTGGTGGGATTTGTCAAATTAGAGGAAAAATCAAGATGGCGTCATCCTATTGTCTTGTTGATAGCAAACAAAAATATGTCAACATTATGATATTATGATTGCAATATAAGTTTAATTATTTATTATACGAGCAAGATCAACCCGTTTTAACAAGATCATAAACCGATGGTCGTTCTTTATCAAATGCCATAGGTAAACCTGCCACAGTAAACCCAAGACTAAACCAATATCTCCAAACCAGGAAACTTGACTAGCCTAATTTCACCACGTAGCTTGAAAAGAGGTAAAGAAGTTAGTAGCCTATTTATTTATTATCAAAAACAATTTATAATGTTGCAAAATAACTTTAAATGCACAGGTTTTAACGTGCAATGTCTTAAACAAGTTTTATATATAAGTTCTTGAAATAACGGATAGGCCTAACTCAAATGAATAGTATGGTTAGGTTAGAATGAATTTGAATTTGACAGCATCCCACCAACCGATCACACGGCCAACCTAACAACACGAAACGCCGAAAACAAACCAGCAAAAACAGTGGCACGTTTTTCTTTAATGTTTAACCAGAGAGTAGTGACTCCAGTTAAAATCTATATCTCAATGAAATACACAAATACCATTAGCTGCTTCCAAACAAATCAGCTGTTACAACACCACTTGCGACGTTGCCACTTCGAAGGCCGCGGGAGTTAAAGGCGGCCGTGGCTGCCTGCGCTAGCCACGGCCGCCTTTGCTAGCCTGCACTCCTCTGCCACTCCACTGCACTCCGCTGTCCGCTGTGTCCGCTCCGACTCCGTCCAACTCCGAACTCCGAGTGACTCCGACCATGGGAGCGAAAAAGATTTTTTAAAACATTGGTTTGGTACTGTACTGTCAGCACAGAAAACATATGTTTTCTGTGACTGTCAGTCAAGTCAAAGTGTCACTGTTTGTTTTTGTTTTAAGTCAACCCAAACTTGTGGCTTTCAAAGTTCAAATTGATAACTGTTATCAGTTGTTTAAAACTTGTCTAACAGTTTTTTTTTTGTTTTTGTTCTTAATTATACTTGTAAGATATTATTTACTTTGGTGAGTAGGTTTTGTATTCATCGGTTTTATTAATCAATTCTGTAAATAACACTACATAGTCATTAGACTTAGACATAGTCATTTGATGTGGTGTCTACCCTAGCCAGGTCTCATCTTGTCAAGTAATTAATTGCTGAAACTTATAATCCAAAGGCTGGTTGATATTCACATACCATAGGCCTAGATAGAAGCATACAATTATGTAAAATTAAGTTAAGTACTTACTTAGACCATTTAAACTCAATTTAGGATCTGCCAAATGAGTAATTCCTATAATTAATAATAAGTTAAGTTATTAGTTATCACCTGCCTAGTTGTGATTTGGTTACTTAGTCATTCAGTAACTTAACTTAAGCCTATCTTTGAGTTAAAGGTGAGTAAGAAAGCTTATATTTAGTGTAAGTTAATGTAGGCTTTGGGTACAGTTTCTTAACTGGGCTATGCTAATATCGATTGAAACTGTCGATTCGATTAGTAAACTTTCATGCGATTTTTTCACCATCAGCAAGTTTGGTTGGTTAGGTTAGGTTATGATAGTTAAATTTTATAATAGATATATTTAAAAATATCGATTATTAATTAATATTTTCAATTCAATAGTTTCAATCGATATTAGCATAGCACAGTTAAGAAACTGTATTTTTAGGGGCCCACTTATTAAAGATAAGGGCTGCACTTTACTTGACGTCCTACACTCATTCGATTGGTTTTTTCGATTCAATATTTTCATTCGATATATCGTTTGGTTAGTTAGGTTAGGTTAACCTTACCTAACTAACCAAACGATATATCGAATGAAGCAATCGATTAATCGATATATCGATTGATATTTTCATTTGAATGAGTGTAGGATGTCAAGTAAAGTGCAGCCAAGATAAGGGCTGCCTGCCACTCTTTTTAAGTTACAGTTTGAGAAAATTCAACCGACCTCTTCCAGGTTGTCTTCAGAATTCCTCTTTTCCTATTCTCCTGAGGGTTCCACTCAAGGGCTTGGTGACTAATGATGTAGTTTGGTATTCTTAGCGTATATAGCCAATCCAGCCAAAATTTATTTTCTTGATGGTCTTATTCACTGGCCCAATTGCCCATTTGCCTTTGTCATAAATAATTGTTTCATTTTTTAAATGTTTGTTGTTTCAGCAAACATGTTGGCAAAACATTACTGCTGTTGGGTGTTTTTTTTCACGCTAGTGTTGTTATGCAATGGATCAGTCAAGATAAGCCGTAGAGATAAACATGGAATGTTGGGAGCTCCACCTTTGTCAACTACGAACAGTCAAATACCTCCAGATAGTTGGTTCACACAACTTCTTAATCATTTTGAACCTACCGATACTAGAACATGGAAACAGGTGAATTTTATTAAACATTATACAGTTTTTAAGAATAAAAGGTTTAGGCCTACAGTTTTTACTCTACAATAAGTTAATAACCCTTTTGCCGCCACAATTTTTAAGTGGTTGCATATCAAAACCGCCAAGGCAATTTTTTGGTCAAGCGCAATTTTTTTATTAACCCTTTCAGTGCTAGGCCAATAATTCGTATTTCGTAAGACTTTTTTGTTTGCCTTTCAATTCCATTACCTGTTGTTGAATTTTAACTGTAGGTATTGTTGTCTTGTCACTATTTTATTAATTAGGCTAATTTTGAATAATAAGACAATATATAACTCAGATTATTTGTAGTAAACATTAAATAAAACTTAGTTTTTGTTGTAATTTTCCTGGTTTTCCTATAAATTTTAATGTTCTGATAGCATTGTTTGAAACCAAAATGTCATAAAATCAAAAGACATAACTTAATAGTTTACAATGTAATATTGAATTTAACTTTGATTTAGTTGGACGGTGTTATCGTAATATAGCCATTTTGGGGAAAATAATGTTTTGCAGCAAAGCCTCAGGAACACAATTTATGATCACTGTTGTGTTTCAGCTGATAAATATCATTTACAATAGTCTGTGACTAACTAGTGCTACATACTACCTAGTAACGCATTGGACAACCTTTTTTAGCACTAAGTTATCTGTTCGCAATCGTTGGCGTCAGCTTAAATACCGGTTTTTTACTCCTCAGTCTTCAAGCAGATATCCGAGAAGACTAGGGCGTGTGTCACTTGGCCAGTGGCATTCGTCTGCTTGGATTCGATTCCCATCCTGTGCGGCAAATAATTGGTGACCTGTGTGTTTGTAGCGATGTAGGCCTACTACTAGGGCATAGTGAGGTGTTCATAATCCTTGGTTTAGACATACACCTCGAAATCATCAGATTGGGCGAATCTTTAAGCTAAGTGGTTGTTAGTGTGTCCTATGAACATGCAGGTCACCAATGGCCGTTTTGCTACTTTTTGTTAAAATAACCTTCCTCTCTATATCCCTTAGAGATATTTTAAAACGATATAGGCTATCGTTTCATAGCACTGAAAGGGTTAATAAGCTCTATCTCTTGTTTCTTTAGGCATCATAGAACAATAATTCTTTTTTTGTTAGAAAAAAAAGGGGCCCGGGCCGGCCCGGTTACCAGTGATCGGCGATTTTGGAAGCCATTTTTATTTGGAAAACTGCTAAAAACACCATTTCCGACCTGGATCCTCACTTCTGGCTACAAAAAATAAGATTTTATGTAAAACAAGATTTCAGGCCATGGGGAAGGACCCATTGATATATTTACCACACTCAATGTGTTAAAGTACCAGTGGCCACTCCAGTAATTAAGTACTTTTTTTGGGCATTTTTGTATTTAAATAATCCTAACAAAAAACTAAAGATCAATTGAGTTTTACTAAGGTTTTACTGTTATTGTAATTAAACCATTTATACAAAAAACTCACTAATAGCCTAATAACATGTATTATTATTTCTACAGAGATACCAAGTGGTGACAGATCATTATGAAGCTGGAGGTCCTGTGTTTCTGTTGATTGGAGGGGAAGGAGAAACCAATGCATTGTGGATGATACAGGGTGCTTGGGTGGACTATGCAAAGAAATACAACGCCCTCTTGTTCCAAGTTGAGCACCGTTACTACGGCAAGAGTCATCCTACAAGGTAAAATTATTAAAATATTTATCAAAACACACCATCATCAATTTTGAAATTGTAATTGGTCAAATGGTTGAAAGCAATGATGCATTGTGTCAGTCCAACCAATATACTGTCCCATAGACTTATTGAATAGGCCTAAGCCTATCAATTTTTATTACCTACTTACTTATTCAGTACCGGTACCTAACAAAAAACGAGTAGGCCCACAGTTTCTTAATTGGGATATACCCTAATATCAATTCAAACTATAGATTAAAAATATCGATTATAATCGATATTTTTAACTTATATTAATTATAGAATGAAACTGTTATAACCTTAACCTAACTAAAAAAACTTGCTGATAATGAAAAACTAAACGAAGGTTTACTAATCGAATCGATAGTTTGAATCGATATTAGGGTAACCCAGTTAAGAAACTGTACCCACTTCAAAAAAACATATATGAACATAAACTCAACAAGTGAACACCGGTACGGTCACCCATCAAACACCGAGGAAGTGTCTGCCATGAGGTACCAGTAAATTTGTTCACTAATTCAAATAACTCAAAAAAACATGCATTTATTTTACTATTACATGTCAAAATCACAACCCTCCCAGTGTGACAACATAGATGCATCGATGGTAATGACACACTCGCTGGGGTGTCAAGCGATGCACCAATGGTAGTGCAGACGTTGCATTATTGTCTTTTAATTCAGTAAATTTTAGTCCGATTTGTATAACTTTTTGTTCGACTTAATCACTTTAAACAGCAGGAAAACTGGCTTTCTCCGAGTGTTTATTTCATAACCTTACTTTTGTTTGTATGTTCTCAGATGTTTTGAGAAAAAAAATTAATTTTTGGTTACCAAGTTGCATGTTGTTGTTTACAAGTTATTTGTTGCTATATTTTCTTTATTGAAAAATTATTTATAACTGTTTAGACTACGTATTTATTTGCACCACAGATAAAACTTAGATTTCTCATCCTTATGGAACAGCTGAAGCCAATTTTATCGTTAGTTCTGTCCGCTGCTCTGTAGAGGTCATTGTTTCATGTTTTAAATAAAAACACAATTGAAGTTTCAATACTATTTATTATAAATTGTAATTAACATCGACAGAATTACATTTAGGCTGCAGTTAATGAGCCGACATCTTTTAATCTGAATCGGAAATCAAGTACACTTAAAAGAGAATACACAAAGACCAAAGAGTAATACCTCTAAACATGGACTTCACTATATACATATATCAACATCCCCTCTCTTTTACAAAATTGAAAATTTTAACTTTCCAAAATACAACTTTAACATTTTCCTTTCAAGTCTAACAAAATATACACCAAAACCTAATCATAAGACAACCGCTTTGGATTTCTTATCAATCTACCCTTTCGGCTTACACAACCATCGAAACTTTTAACAATTTGTTCTTCTGATGAAATTCTAGGAGTTAGGCCTACTGGTCTTTGAAACAACACTGGACTACTTTGCGGAGAAATAAGGCTATTACCATTAGTACCTGACAAACTGATTTGTGAATCTGACTTAGGACTTGTTTCAGGCATTATGGTTTCATTACCTGTATCATTAGACAAATCTGGCCTAATCATCTTCCTATTTCTTACAAACATTTTATCTTTCTCATCAGACAAAACATAGGATCTGGGGATTCTATTTTTTTCTACAACTTTTCCTGCTGTCCAAGGTGAATCAACAGTTTTCTTAAAATACACTTTGTCTCCTACATTTAAAGAGGGTAACTCTTTGCTATTTCTATCATAGTACTTTTTAATACAATCTTTTCTCTTGTCTGACAAAATTTTGTTAGGTTTTGTTACTTTAGGCTGCAAACTACTTTTAGACAGTGGCAATAGGCCATTGAGTTTTCTACTAAACATTAACTCTGCTGGTGAAGGTTGATATTGTTTACTAGTGTTACGATAACTTAACAATGCAAGATACACATCAGACTTAGATTCTTTTGTTTTCTTCAGTAAGTTTTTCGCTATTTTGACACCTGACTCAGCTTGACCATTAGATTGAGAGTGTTTTGGACTAACTATCACTAGCTTAAAATCGTACAACACAGAAAACTCGTGAAAAGCGTTAGAAGTGAATTGACTTCCTGAATCAACTACTAAAGTAACAGGAATTCCATGGCGAGCAAATATTGATTTGCATTTCTCGATTACAGTTTTTGAAGTAATGTCTGACAAAGATACTAACTCAATATATTTAGAATAATAGTCCATTAGTACAAGAAAATATTGGTTATCAAACTCAAAAATGTCACCTGACACTTTATGCCAAGGCAAATCTGGTACATCATGAAACAACAACGGTTCTTTTGCATTCATAGGCTTAAACTTAGCACAAACACTACATTTATTTACAAAACTTTCAATGTCCTTATGTAAGGTGGGCCAATACAATAAATTCCGTGCCCTAATCTCACATGTTTGTTTTCCTACATGGCCACAATGCAAACTTTCAAGCATCATTTTATGAAGTGAACTAGGTACAACAATAGATTGATTTTTGAAAACAAGATCATCTACAACATGAAGATCATGTTTAATACTCCAAAATGGTAAAACCATATTACTGACTTCAGGCTTTTGAGGCCAACCTTTAGATATATACATCTTTAAAATACCTAGACATTCATCTGAACTGGTTTTTTCTCTTAGCAGGTTTAGTTTACTTTCAGACACGGGAAGATAAGATTTTAACATATTTACCTCACAAATGATGTCCTCATCTAAAACATCAATATCTTCTTTACCTTCAACTGGAAGTGCTGCACGTGACAGTGTATCAGCTATATACATCAATTTACCTGGCTTGTATACAACAATTAAGTCATAGCGTTGAACTTTTAGCATCATTCGCTGTAATCTTAAAGGAGCAGCAGTAATGGGCTTCCTAAACAAACATTCTAAGGGTTTGTGATCAGTTTCAACAGTTACTTTCCTAGAGAAAATAAATTGGTGAAATCTAGTGCAACCAAAAACTATGGCTATCATTTCTCGTTCTATCTGACAATAATTTGACTGAGTCTTAGTGAGCGCTCTAGACGCATACGCAATTGGATTATCACCACATAACAATACAGCACCTAAACCAGATGAGGAACAATCTACAGACAATGTTATTGGCTTACTTGGGTCATAATATGATAAAACAGGAGGAGATACTAACAAAGACTTTAAAGTCAAAAATGCATTTTGTTGTTCGGCATTCCATTGAAATAAAACATCTTTATGTGAAAGAACTCGCAAAGGAGATGTTACAGTCGAATAATTTGGAATAAACTTTGATAAGTAATTGGTAACTCCTAAAAATCTTTCCAAGTCTTTACGATCTTTAGGTATTGGCATCTCCTGTACAGCTTTAAGCTTAGAAGGATCCGGAGTTAAACCATACTCAGTAAACCGATGACCCAAAAACAAAACTTCACTCTCAGCAAATTTACATTTCCTAGAGTTAAACTTAATATTAAAATCCTTAGCTCTTTTTAATACTTCCTTTAATCTTAAATCATGAGTTTGTTTATCAGGAGCACCTATGCAAATGTCATCTATGTAGGTGACTACACCATCAATACCTTCAAATATTTGAGATACAGTAGAATGAAATATATCCGGTGCACTTGAGATACCATATGGCAAACGAAGGTATCTATATCTACCAAAAGGTGTATTAAACGTACACAACTTGCTACTAATATTATCCAACTTAAGCATCCAAAATGCACTGCTTGCATCAAGAGTTGAAAATATCTTACAATTATTAAACTTTGATGACACTTCATCTATAGTTGGCATTTGACAGTGTGTTCTTTGTATATACTTATTCAGGTTTCTTGGATCTAATACTACCTTTAGTCCAGAATTTTTTTTGTTTATCAAAACTAAACTGTGAACCCATTCTGTAGGTTCATTTTCTTTTACAATAATTCCATTAGCTTCCATTAATTCAAGTTCATTTTTCAAAGGATTTAACAAAGCAAATGGTACTCTACGACATGGTTCAATAATAGGCTTAGCATCTTCACTTAATGACAAATGAACTGTTGTAGGAATGTTACCAATACTACCATCAAAAAGTGAGCTGTATTCATTCAAAATGCTACTAACAGAATGTACACTTTCATTAGGCCTATGCATATTTTGACCTAGAGCAATATTATTTACACTTTGGTTCTTAACATCAGACAATACCTGACCGTTGTAGGCTGCTATAAGACCTAACACGCGACAAGAATTTAAGCCTAAAATTGGCGAACATTTCACATCAACTATTACAAAAGTAATACAGAACATTTTCCTGTTGAAAGAGCAATCTAAATCTACAATACCTAGTACCGGTATTTTTTCACCAGTTAGTGTACTAAGATTTATATTTGAGGTGCGTATTAATGCCTTTGATAGGCCTAGCCTATTAAACAAATCAATTGGGATGATATTTGTCTGAGCACCTGTATCTATTTTAAATGATATTGTGTGTTCCCTAATGTTCAAATTCTCTAGCCATTCATTAGCCCTGGATTTACACATGTAATTTTTAGGAACAGAATCATTAACTGAACATATATTACTGAATAAAAAGTTTTTGTCAATCACGTAATTAGGTATACATTCAGATGTGAGCGATACCGTATCAATTGAAAAATATTCTTGTGCACAAGTACTTTTAGAAGAACTGTCTTGCCTACCTTGCCTTATAGCTACATCTCTCGAATTAGAATCTAAACTTAGGCCTACTTCACAAACCTTTTTGGCTGATTTGCATACACTGGCAAAGTGGTTGTTTTTACCGCACTTATAGCACACTAAGCCATACGCAGAGCACTTGTTAATACCGTGATTTTTCCCACAATTACGGCAGTTTGAAATAAACTTCTTAGCACTTGTACTTTTGTTAGGCCTACCTGTCCCAGTTGATTTCTGCTGTGATGGTGGATGAAATTTGTTCCGTTGGTCCTGATGAACCTGTTTCTGTCTGAACGTTTGTGGTTGTTGGTAACCCCTCTCTCGTTGCTTATGGACGTTTACTGTATAGACATTATGTTCTGCTTCAAGTTCTCTGATGTGTTGTTTAGACAGTTCAGCAGCTTTACAGATTGCTAAAGTCTTCTCCAAGTTAATCTCCGGCTCTCTCAATAATCGTTCCCTGACATTCTGGTTTTGAGAGTTAAGCCCTGATATTAAGACATCGCAAACAAGACTTTCGCGGACAGAGTCAAATTCACAAGCGAGGCTCAAGTTAACTAAGTCTGTATAGAAACTATCGATGGATTCAGATGGCAGCTGTTTCCTATTTAGAAATTTATGTCTCAGAACCGTGAGGTTTTTCTTAGGCGAGAAATGGTTTTCAAATTTACTTACCACCACGTCGTACTTTTTTGCATCTTCGGATGAGAGGTTGAACGAATTGAAAATGTCTATGCATTTGTCACCCAAATTATGTAGTAGTAGAGCAACCTTCCTAGCGTCATTTTCAGAATTTAGGTTAGAAGCCAAGAGATAAATCTCAAATTTCTGATACCAGTGCTTCCAATTTTCGGCTAAATTGCCCTCGAAATTAAAATTCTGAAGATTGCATGGAACCATTGTGAAATTTTCAGTTTTTCTAGACACAGTCCTTTGTTCAGTTTGTTGAAGCACGTTTTCATCTTCCGACTCACTCATTGTTATAACACATTTTTATGTTAATTTATTACTCACGCACTTGAATTTATTTGTATCCCACTTATAAGACACCATGTTTCATGTTTTAAATAAAAACACAATTGAAGTTTCAATACTATTTATTATAAATTGTAATTAACATCGACAGAATTACATTTAGGCTGCAGTTAATGAGCCGACATCTTTTAATCTGAATCGGAAATCAAGTACACTTAAAAGAGAATACACAAAGACCAAAGAGTAATACCTCTAAACATGGACTTCACTATATACATATATCAACAGTCATGTTTTGTTTACAATTTGTTTCTTGTTATTTCAGTAATTTAAAACCTTTATTTATTTAAATAATTAGTAATTTAGCCAAATAAAACAATCTAATTATAAACAACAACTCGTCCCCTAGTTATATAACCAAACAGTAAAGCACAAATCATTAAATCGACCCTAAAATTATAGAAACAACATTTTGTAGACACTAACACCCAATGTCACCGGACATGAACTAGCCATGGAAAACGAGCTTCAAAATTTACAGTGGGGATAGAATTCTACTTGTGGTTGGTTAGTCTATGGTTGTACAAAATAATCAGTGATGACTAACTTGTTGGTTTGATGTGTTTGCAGTAATGTTTTGAAGGTTGTCTGTAATGGCAGTAAAGTCTTTGTTATATGCCTAGTGAATGATTTTGCTGAATGTTCAAATTGACTTTTTTGCCATAATATTTATTAAGAAATAAATTACTATTTCAGATTTTTCATTACGTTACAATTGCTCATGAAAATAAAATAGAGGCATGAACATTTTTTCATATTATTATTTTGCAAATTTTATCTTTCTAGGCTAAGTACTTTTAGCGAATTTCCCATATAGGGAATAAGCTATAACCGTAGTACTCATGGTAAGACCTGGACCCGGGACCGATTTACTTTTTCGTTTTGAGGTCCCTAGAGGCCAAAAACACCATCCGTTCAAATTCATTTATGGGAACAGGGGTTTATGGGGGGTTTTATGGGGTAAAAATAGGTTTATTCCATTTTTGACCCTTAAAATGTAAAATTTAGCAACTTATTTCCAAACCATTTTGTAGAGCTTAAAAAAACCAATAGCCTAATTTAGTATATTGAAGCGTTATTATGCGCCTATTGGCTACAGAAAAAATTCAAAAAAATTGTAAATTTAAAATTCCCACGTTATTCTTATGGAGAAAATTGTAAACGGTTGTAGTTTACTTAAAAAAATGGTTTACAATACCTGCATATAGTAATCCTTTGTTGCTGATTTAGGCAACTAGTTTCGGTTCTTGTTTTGAACCATCTTCATTACTCATTAGTACTTCAACATTAGTACTTCATTAGTACTTAGTAGGCCCTACTTAGTTCATTAGTACTTAACATTAGTACTTCATTACTTCATTACTAAACGTGTATCGTGTTTTGTATATGTTTTATTTATTGAACTCTGTTAACGACCTTCGAATGAAGTGATCACTTGACACCTTGAGGCCTGAAGATGGTTCAAAACAAGAACCGAAACTAGTTGCCTAAATCAGCAACAAAGGATTACTATATGCAGGTATTGTAAACCATTTTAAGTATAATACAGTAATCCGGAGGCTAAACAACTATTTTTGAAATGATGTTGTAGTTTGCTTGTTTATGAGAGCATATTTTGATCAAATTTGAAAAATAAATTTAATTCATACTAAACTATAAAAATTTTATAAAATAACACTTTTTACCCTCCCTGATTCAGCAAACCTAAATACTCGTTAAACTAATGCTATTTAAATAGGGAATAAATGTGATATTTTTAAGGAGACATTTTAGTGTTTCAAATCCAATCAGGCAAATGGAAATTCGCTTAGTCTGCAGGTTTGCTGTGGCGGGGGTATTTTGTTTTTTATCATAAAATAGTTATGAAAACCCAATTATTTATGCTGAATTATAATGTGCATATGTATTAAGCTGCATAAAAATATATAACAAGGTATAGTTGTTTTGAAAAGTAGATTATTTGTTATAATTTTTAATAAACATTGTTGCAAAATGCCTGAAAATCGACCAACACCACACAAACCAGTGGCGGTTCTAGGACCTTGTCAAGGGTTTGGGGGTGTACACCAATGAAGCAGGGGGGTACGGGGGTCCTCCCCCGGCAAAATTTGGAATTTTCAAAGCCGTTTTTAACACCTTAAACCGTGCCCAATTGTCCATAATTCCATTTCACTTGTTGTTCCTCATGAGCAAATATAGACATTTAAAAAATTAAACTATGACAATTGCATTCATGAATTTCAAAACACACTGTAGACTAAGGTCATATCCTCCTAAAAGCCGTTGGGTGACTTTCTACAGCCAGTTTTAACGTCTAGAACTGTGTGCAAAACCTCCCATTTCCCCATTTATTTGTCATGAATAAGTAGACATTTTTAAAACTAACTATGACAATTGCATTCATAAATCTCAAAACATATTGTAGGCTACGGCCATATCCTCCTAAAAGCTGTTTACTGACTTTCTAAAGCCATTAATAATGTCTATATCTGTGTCCAACTGTCCAAAAACCTCCCATTTCACCTGTTATTTGTCTTTGTCATGAGCAAGTAGACGTTTTAAAAATCAAACTATGACAAACTTGCATTCATGAATTTCAAAACATAGGGCTACTGTAGACTACAAATCCTGAAGCCATCTCCTAAAAGCCGTTTGGTGACTTTAAAAAGTAAATTCTTACGGCTAGAACTGTGCCCAATTGTCCTAAAACCTTCCATTTTACCTGTTATATGTCATGCAAGCAAGTAGACACGTTTTTTAACCTTACGTTTTTCTCCATTTCATAGATCTGTCACAATATGTATATAGTATCGAATTCAGTAATAGCATTTTATTTATTGACTATAAACTTTAACACTAGTGTTTATATAGTCAATTTAGGCTACTGGTGCCACCGCTGATTGCTGATTGATGCCTGTGTAAAGTTAGTGGCTAGCCAGCTGGCTAGCAGACAATTTGACAACTAACTATGGAACATCAGGAAATCAGCTGGTACCTGTCCTCGCTCGCACGCTCGGCGCTCGCCTTTGCCTTAGCATGTCAACAGCTGACTGCTGTAAAAATTGGATGATGCGTACAACTTTCCATAGCGTAATATTGTTTTATTCGTTGTGCTATTGTCTACAAAGTTTATCTATGTGGAACTTAATACTACTCCTGCCATATCTTATTAAGTTTAATAAAAACTACATTGATGTCTGTTTTATGACATTGTGTGTTTTAAGGACGAAATGTACGTTTAAATTTATTTTTCCAGGGTCCAAGGAGGGGGCTTTAGCCCCTGTAGCCCCCCCCCCCCACCCTTGGAACCGCCACTGACACAAACAATGACTGTCAGCAGGAGGGTTAAAACCCCAGGACTGCCCTCGTGGTTTGGATAAATATCCCTGTAATTTTTGCGATTTTGCAAGGGGTTTTTATAATATGTTCAGTGTCTAAATTACTTATGTAATCTCTAGTCATAGACATGCTCATTTTGTAGACAAAAAGAAGTGAATTTTGAATAAAATAAATAGATAAAAATCCCTGTTGCCACAGTCCAAAAACTAAGATTTGCGATGAATATTTGATATAAATTTGAAAAGTAGACTCCTGGTATTTTCCTACAAAATTGTGAAAGAAAATCCAAGGTATAAAAAATTTAGACGTTTGATTTTTCTACGAGGAAATATGTTTGATTTTTTGAAAAAAGATTTTAACCCCACAGGAATAAATATGGAAAATTGGAAAATATGTATTCATTTGTTTTTTTCCTTTATTATATTACAAAATGGTACAAATATTCTATTCGCAGCATATATATTTCTGAATAAGAATATATATCTATGTATAGAGAAATATTAAAAACTAAAGGTTCTATAGGCATTTTAGACATGAGACGCACTGTTTGGCAAGTAGCCAGTCAAGGTCAATTGGCATGTTGGTTGGTCTCAATAGTTTTGTTGTGACTGAAAAGCATGCTGAATTTCATAATCGCACATTTCAAATTGTGGGTTTTTATTTCTGGCTACAAATCAATATAAATTAGATAACGCTAATCCTTTATTGATTTATTAGTCATTGCCTAAATGACAATTTTCCTCATTTCAAATGTAAGCTGATTTATAAATATCATCTCCCAAGTTTTCATTATAATTACACTAGCTTTTGGCCCGTCCTACGTACGGGAAACAAGTAGTTGTCCTACGTACGGGAAACAAGTAGTTGATTAAAACTGAATATAATTCAGAACAGCTAGTTTACAGGCAAAAAGAAAAATTCTGGCATTTTTAATAGGGAAATCATCTTGTAAACAATTATCACGTGACCACCTATATTTTCTTCATCTGATTAGCCTATAGGCCTATACAATATGCATTTGAATTCCGTTCCAATAATTTTACAAAAAACAGCGATTGTTTTGATTTGAAAGCCTTAAAATGGTATTGGTGAAGTAGATTCACACACACTGGTTTAAAGTACAGTAGCTACATATTACCTTCCATTGCATTTGCATACTATCACTTAAAGAGTACCTTATTTCACCTCAGTGGCCACTGAAACCTGTACAGGATTTTGGCCTCAGATTCTCTTCTATCCCTTGCCTCTTCTAATGTTATTACCAGTATGGAGAAGTCTTTCATTGCTTGGTCCTCCAAGTGGTCGTCTTACTTGTGGTACTCCTTGGAATGCATTTTTAAAAGTGTATGTCTTCTCTCATCCACGCATAGCCTGTCCATCCAAGCCTTTTATTTCTGGAAAGCACATTTATATCTAGGTGTTTAAAAAGTCCTCTTAGCTCTCTGTTCTGTCGTATCTCAACCGCCATTATCTTGAAATGGGACGTATTTTTTCTCTGAACTCTATTCTCAAACCCAACAATAAGGTTTTTCGGTTCTTTGGTCAGGGCCCAAGTTTCTGAACCATACAGTACTGGGATAATATGGTATGGCATGAATAGAATTTGGTTTTTACTGACACCCTGCCTTTTATTGGTCAGTTTTCTAGAGACCTACCACGCCAATTGACTTTTGTTTTACCAATCAAAAATTAGGTATGCCGACATAGTACTGACATTATTAAATAAATCGTCCATACCTATCCACGATGTGGGATTATCAGTTACACTGCATTAATTGATATAAGTAAACCAAGAAAAGTAATGACAATAACATTTAGTTTGTTTTGAAACAGCTGTTTAGTAAAAAGAATCTATATATTAATTTGAAACTGTTTTTCTTTGTCATAGCTATTTTGAGAGAACGGCTGGGCGTAGAAACTCGGTAGGGGTGTCTAAAGAAAGGTCTTGGTCTGTAGATGAGCCATCAAAAGAGAAACGTGGTAAATTCCCTAGGGGCTCTGCCCCAGTGGCCTTTAAAGTCCCATCCCATGTTATTCTTATGGAGGAAAACGGGGTTTTTGTCACAGCTAATTTGAGAGAACGGCTGGGTGTAGAAACTTGGTAGGGGTGTCTAAAGAAAGGTATTGGTCTGTAGGTGAGCCCTCAAAAGAGAAACGAGGTAAATTTCCTTGGGACTCTGCCCCAGAGGCCTTTAAATTTCACTTAGCAATTTTGTTTACATTACGACCATATGGATAATTTTACACTACTTTTAATGAACCAGCTGTTAATATTAAAATAGTATTCAAAGGTCTACTGAAACTGTCAAAATTAAATGTTTAAATTATTATTTATGATTTTAAATTGATTCTCCACTGCATGGCAAGTTTTTTATAGTTTCAACAAAATGATGAATTTATGATACGTTTTAAATGTTGTGATCAAAAATATGTGCTTTATTGCTCTTAGAAAATTTTAAATTATGAAATAAGTGTGACATATCAATTTTAAAGGAACATAATTATTCCTTATCGGGTTAGCTTATATATATTGTAAGTTTGGCACTTGCCTTTTTTTGCCTACTTTCAATTACCATTTAGTTTTGAATTCAAGATAGAACACCAGAAATTTATTTATTGGTATACAAGTTTTCGACAATCGGGTTAAAATTTGTGTCATAGATGAGTACGTTGAGGATGAGAGCTGTGTTTTAGTTTTGGAATTGACTAACTACGGAGTATGTTTCATCTATGGTTTTGGTGAAGTAGGTGAACTAATGTCAATTCAGGTATTTAAAAAAATGTGTACAGGGTTTTTACTTTGCTGTACACATGTAACAACGCATCTAAACCTCACTACATACAAAGCATTCGGAAACACAACAGTGTCATCACATCTAATCGCATTTGCATAATTTGTTACCAAGGCTGGACTAGGTTATGGATTTGGTTCCGCAAATGTTGAAGATTTGTTATCAAATTTCCGACAATTATGGTTCATTCCATCCACGAAATGCATGCACAGCTTTATGTTATCGATCTGGCCAAGGCGAAACTATCCGAACTATAAGTTAATGAATTATCAAGTAAGAACAGGATGATTAAATACATGGGTCGATGTGGCAAGAGAAGGAATTAAAATTGCTTAGATCGAAGTAAGAATCTTACTGCTTTCTAGAGAATCAGATATTTTTATCAAATACAAAAAAAAAAAACTAATTTAATATGCTGATAAAATTCTGTATTTTTATGACCAAAGATGAAGATTTACTTATAAATCCGGATACAATCAGAATGATTTTCCAAAGCAGATTGAATTAGTTGTTAGTAATAAATATTGACTCTTTTCGTAACATGATAGACTATACGTAATGATAGATATGAACTCATTCTCCCATATAGTGAAAGTGGCTTTGACATGAAACAAACTCATGAACTAACAATTTTATAAGACTCCTAAAAAACCTTTTGGGCAACCTAAAGCCGATAAAAAGGTAGGAAATATTGTGTTAAACGAATTCATCAATCACATTTTTTAGGGAACACAATTGTCATACTTATTATTATGTTTATCCTCCCTTCATTTAACTAATGACTTCACTCTATCTATCGCAGTTAGCTGAATTTACATAAAACCTCAAGATGAACCGTCGATTTCGACGGGGTTCTACTAGTTATATTCATTTGGAAAAAGAACTTGTCACCTGTAGAAGGAATTTAAAATAGTAAACACGCTAGTAAGCTAGTGACCATTGACTATTGGATACTGTTGTATTAATAGTCAAAGCTAGTGACATAATTTTTCTATGTTTACTAACCATACCGTTATCCAGTCTAATATCCGACCGTGATAATTACCCACCCTCATTGAATATACTGTATATGTACATCGTAATTTCCCATATTCAAACGATTAGATGTTTAGTTGAAATAAAAGTGATATTTTGCCTACATCAGCGCATCCAAACGTTACCACACATGAACACACGCCAAAGAGCTTTTTAGATTTTACAAAAGGATAGTAAGTCTACTTGTAGTTTGCTAGGTATGTGATAGCATTGTGTTTAATCTATGTAATCCATCTCTAGATAAAACCCGTCAGATGTTGTGGTAGTAATTTAAAATTGTGATTCCTGATCATCCTTGATCTCCTTGTTTGATATCATCAATATTTTCAGACCTAATCCAAACAAAGTTTAAGCAGTCAAACATTTATTGCAAACAAAAGCTACCAAGATGAGTTAAAACATGTAAACATTGTTATTTTACTCTTTCCTCAGAAAGTTGATCAGCAAAATAATTTGCGTAGGCTTTTCTTTAAACGCTCTTGGGCAGAGCCTAGATTTTTATAAGCAATTGTTTTACTTATCTCTATGGTCTACTTATCTCTACTTATCTTACTTATTTTCTATAATCAAAGGCAAAATCGAAGACTAAAAAAAATGAACTCATAGTTCTATAGAGTATATTTATATCCATACAGCTGTTAGTTCAAACAAATTATATTGCACTAAAACAAACCCAAGATTTTAAAGACTGCTCTAAAAATAAATTAGAACATCTAGTATTACTATGTATATTTAAATAATCGGTCATCCTCTTGCCGAATAAATGATGGTATCAATCATTATAACATTACACATAGTATAAATTAGTCAACTCTACGTAAGTAATTGATTTTTTATCCAAATGCTGAATTTGTGTCACAAACGCTGAATGTTAACAGCTGTTACGTTAAGCAAATGGTATTATACCAAAAGCTTGTTTAGAATATTAGTGTCGGCTGCTAGAGTTTTTGAAAATAAAACCTAATTTCAAAAAAATTGAAACCCTAAACTAAAATTATGGCTTTGACATTCCCTAGTTCTCAAAATTATCTTTCTTTCAACACAAAAATCATGAATATCCGTCAAGTGGTTGATTCAGAATTGTGAAATAAAAAAACCTGTCACGTTTTAATACGTTGGTTATTGGTATGAAAATAAACTCCAGAACAAAATCTTACTATTGGTACCTACCACGTCGGGTTTCATGCAAAATTATAGGCGCTACAATTTATTGAACAAGAGTAATGAATTGAAGTGCCAAACATAAAATCGTCTGGCGCCTAAATTTTCATTCAAATTGTAACAACAATAAAATTGATCTGTTAATGCAATAAGATTGGTTTATACATGAAAATAAAAGTTTGGAATCTCATCTTTCGAATGGTATTAACATTATTTGGTTTTAAAATCATTTTAAATGAGTCATTAGCTGTTACAAAATTGACACTATTTATCATCGTATGGGCATTTTGGAAGCACAGACATTTGACGAATATAGTCATATTGCCAGTCCTAGGGTTGAATTAACTACTATGGTACAAGAAAAAAAACACTTTGTTTTGTCCTCTTCACACATGTGTAACGACCCAAAACCCGTCAAGGGGTAAAAACCCGATTTTTAAAGTTTCTTTTTAAGATATTATAATTTTCTACGTTCGGGGTAAGCCGCGCCCGCGTTCTGAGTGGCATCGTAGGGGCAGGGGCCCTACGTCGTCGTGGAGGGGAGGACGATAGTTACCTACCCCGCCGCCAGGGGCGATTGTGAAGAAGGACCAGAAGAGCAGACCTCATGGACAGTTGTCCGCCCGCTACCGAACCGTCAATACGCTTGCTGTTTGGAGATAAATCCAACAGTCCTAACGTACTTAATTCTGGTCAGTTAAAGATTTCCACCGTTCCTGGTAGAATCGTAAGGCATCAGGTTTGTATGCTACCGAATTTATTTTGTTTAATCTCATTTTAGAAAAGTTTTATTATTTTTATTTTATTGTGCCGCAGTCGCGCGCACCCCGCACGCTTTTTCACGTATGAGCACACTACCTTTTGTCTTAAACCAGCTTCGGAAATCATTTAAGTTGCCAGAACGGTTTACGTACAACTTATTCCGTTACCCCAAACCGTCTTACGTAAATTTGATTTAAGAAACCCCGTATCGACTCTGGTGATCGACCGAGTCTAATTTTCCCGACACGTTTACTTTGGTGATTACCAAGTATAACGACCGAATCATGTTTTAGTTAAGTTTCCAATTAATTAGACTTATTCGCATTCACAATAGGTTATTCAAAATTCTAAATTTAGCTTCACATATTTTTCGAGTGGCTATGATGAGCACGTTAAAAAGGTAAGCTTAACACTGTAAGCATTATTGTTGTAATTAATATTCTGAGCCAATAAACTCAAAACGATAATTAAATAACGAACACGTTAAGAGTCCTGGACTATCTCATTGTAGGCTAAGCTATCTGGACAAAATTTAAGGTGTGACAGAATTTCAGGTGAGACGACAATTACGTACTTTAAAATCTAATTTTGTCACTCAACCCGAAATTTTGTCATACATGTTAATAAAGTTGTGGTTAACGGACAACAAATTGTGCTATAATATAAAGAAATGCACAATGCAGACTGAGAAGCATATTTCTCCAGGCGCACAAAATATCCCCTTCCTGCGATCGAGCCTGAGCACACACTGAACTCTTCTTGTTAGTTGGGTTGGTTAGGAAGCGAGCGTCCCTCAAGCATGAGCTGCCGGATTGTGGCGGGTAGGCGGCGGGCCATGCACAGTCAAAGTGTTATACTTACTTTTATTTTAAATTTTAATAAATCATCAGGTACCATACTGTCAAATAATCCTTGCGTAAACCAAGTCTGTTTATTTAAACTTCCATTGGTGTGTTGACTGTAAATTTTTGCTTACCTTATTTGCACTATTCTTGAATAGGCCTATGTTGCAGTGACCTGAGTGTTGAGAATCTGAAGTACTTGTCGAGTGAGCAAGCGCTAGCAGACCTAGCATACTTTATTGTAGCCATGAACAATGAGCACAACTTGCCTTCCAACACCAAGTGGGTGGCGTTCGGAGGCTCTTACCCAGGCAATTTGGCAGCCTGGATCAGATTCAAGTATCCTCACCTTATCCATGCTTCCATGTCAGCCAGTGGTCCGGTTCTTGCTAAAGTTGATTTCTCAGGTACTTATTGATACTGAATGCTTTCTGTTTTAAAATCGATCCAATAGTTTACTTTGCAAAAATTTATTGTTTTGATTAATTGACATAGTGTGAATTGAGACTACCCCAAATAATTAAGTCCTTAATAAACTTGGATACCTACTCAGAAAGACATTAAGGAACATTAAAACCTCTAAAGGTTATATGAAAACTCCAGCTCTAGATACTATTAATGGATTAGCTCAAAACATAAAAACGAACTACAGTAATTATTTACAGAAAAGAGTATAAGTACAAGTATTACAAGTATAGTACAATACTTAGTGGACACCTAGCCATTGGTCAAAAGTAATTCACTTAACTCACTCAACTCATAACCTCATAACTCACTCAACCGAGAGTACCTATTTGGTTGGCACTGCTAAGGAGTCTGACTGGACTCGCAACTCCAGTTGGCAGCAGTCCCATAACTATTCTGACAATAATGCTTCTGTACTCAAAGGTAAAACCAACACATTTAAGAAGTGAAAGGTAAAACTCATACCACACTTTAACATAGATACCTACTGTTTAGCCAAGATCCCAAAAGTAAGAAAACAAGCTCAAACAATATTACCTTAAATGAATCATTAAATATATAACATATAATAACAATTATAAAAGTATGAATCAAAACATCTTCTCTTTTCTCTTGGCTGGGGTGATTTTACACTTCTTTTAGGTCTGTCATTTTCATTGCTATTGTAATTATCCAGTATCAGTTTCATTTCCTTGGTCTTCTTGGTATTGATATTCAAATCTATTTTCATAACTTTCCATAGGCCTATGCACAGCTATTCAGGTCATGTTCGGCACAGTACCTCGGTTCCTGTGAATACAATTTTAGGAAGGATTATTTACTAACTAATGTACAGTAAAGTGTTCATTTTTAGCCTAATTATGCTAAACCTATTTTCAGAATACATGGATGTAGTAAAGAGTTCTCTTGCTACTCACAGTACTAAGTGTGTTAAGGCTGTGGAATCTGCCAACAAACATATCAACATACTCTTAAAAACTCCAATAGGTCAAGACACCATCTCATCAAAGTTCAGGTAAGTAATCAAGCCTCTTAGTACTTACTAAGCAAGCACTCTATAAATGAACTAGCCTATAATACGGAGATTATTTGCTTATTTGAATCTCGCCCTTATCCAGCATCCTTGCCGAAATTTTCTTAAACCGGGATGGCGCGCAAAATTCTTATAATCTCCCGCGGTACACATCATCATCGTCTCCTGCGACCATGGCAGAATTATAATCATCTCCCGTGGTTGCAGCAAAATCCTGATCATTACCCACGGTGGTCTTGACATCATCATTGTGTCCCGCAGTCAAGGCAAAATCCTGATTAGTTCTTGTGGTAACGGAAACATTATCATCATCTTCTGCAATCATCGCAAGTTCATTAACGTTTTTGACCGCGTAAACAATATCATCATCTTCCACGACCGTGGTAAAATTTTGATGATCTCCTGCGGCCGTGTATACATCATTATTGACTCCCACAGTCTCGGAAACGTCATTGTCATCTTAAGCAATCGCGGCCGAATCATGAACATCTCCTGCAGTCGGGTAGACATAATTGTCATCTTCCTTGATCGCAGCAAAATTCTAACTTGTCCTGTGCCAGTGTAGACATCATCATCGTCTCCCGCGGTTACAGAAACGTGCTCGTCGTCTTACACGATAGTGTTAATTTTCTGATTGCGTGATCTTTGCAGACGTGTTATCGGAATCAACTTTTGACGATCCATGCTCCAATCCGATACCAATGTCCAAATATAGGGGGTATTGAGAATTGGTATTAACAATCATATCCTTGATTACATTATCTTTTAAATCTCACTATGATCAAATAGTTGACCAAAGCTTATCATGGGTCTTATTGATAGATAAATAATAAAGTCAATTCAAATCGTAGTGCTTCCTTTGAGCTTTGTTAACTAACATACTAGAGTGGACATTTTCAATGATGATTAGAAAACTAAGTTTTTACAATGGTTTGGGATCAGATTCCAGATCCCAAAATGTCAAGAACACTTTTTTCTAATTGTGATGGAAAATGTGTGCAATAATAATAATCTGCTATATTGTGTGGGTACAATTTTTATTTTGTTTTGAAATAATAATTTAAGTACAAACTTCCATCATTTGGTCTTATATTAGTGTAAACTTTGTTTTAGATTGTGCAGCCCTATTGACATAAACAACATGAATGATGTTGCCAACCTTCTTGAGGCCCTGGCTGAGAACTTTGCTGGAGTAGTGCAGTACAACAAAGACAACAGAATGTCAGACACAGCACACATCACAATAGACACTCTGTGTGATATCATGGTGAACGAGTCTCTAGGCACACCAGTCATCAGGTGAAAAACAGATGTACTATGGTAGGCCCACAGCTAGATTTATGAAAATTTTACTTTTAGTCCAGGCAAATTAGATCAAATATAGGGAGTGCTCCCCAAAAAATCGTATAAAGCTGAAAAGTGTTTTAATACCTTTTGGGGGCCCCAAATAAGAGTCCTGTGAGTTTGCTACGGATTCTGATGTCTGCTTAAGTTTTGGGAGTCAAAAAACTATGAAAATTTTGCAGTTTTTCACTTATAACTCCTAAATAACGAATCCTACGGAAAATGTTGTTCAAAGGTATCTTTTAGTGCATTCAATTCTGCGTCGATTGGTGTTAAATACGTCAAATTCGGACGGCTCGGCCGTTGTAGCCGCTGTAGCTTTTTAAACTTGGATCATTTTCATCAACATGGCAAAAAGTTTTCGGCTTACAACTCCTAATTGACACATGCTATACAAAAATGCACCTGTAGTTAGTCTGAAAAACACAAAATTCTGCGTATTATGTTTTTTTTTACCAATCAATAATGGCAATTGATTGTTACCTACTTTGTATGGTCGCCATTTCATTGAAAGAAGTATTAAAGTTAAAGTTGGGAAATTTTACTAAAATTTGTAACAATGTAGATCCTGTCCTTTAAACGGATTATGAATCATTAGTTAGTGGTTTATTCCATGGTAATCATCCAGAGGTTTATCTAATAAGGTGTGAAGAGAGTAAGACCCCCTATGTAATTTTAAGTCTAATATTGTTGTCTGAGGTTCCGAAAATTCTAGGATTCATCCTTCAGTTTTTGGCTTACATCTTCTAACGCATGCTATAGGAACAAATTACCTGTAGTTAGTTTGATGAGCAGAAGAGTCTGCGTTGAATGTTTTCCAATCCATTAAAAACGGCTTCACCGTTTAACCGCTATTGATTGTTAACACTATTTCGGATGCTTGTCAAGTTTCTAAGATGTTGCTCTCATGAGCACTTACTTGTTCAATGGTCATATTACACCATAATCCGGAATTATGCTTTTTGTCTTGATTGTCTTGATGCTTTTTTTCTTGATAGGGGGTCTTACTCTCTTCACACCTTATTAGATAAACCTCTGGATGATTACCATGGAATGAACTACTAATTAATGATTCATAATCCATTTAAAGGACAGGATCTACATTGTTACAAATTTCAGTAAAATTTCCCAACTTTAACTTTAATACTTTTTTCAATGAAATGGCGACCATACAAAGTAGGTAACAATCAATTGCCATTATTGATTAGTAAAAAAAACATTATACCGGTACGCAGAATTTTGTGTTTTGAAAACTAACTACAGGTGCATTTTTGTATAGCATGCGTCGATTAGGAGTTGTAAGCTGAAAACTGGTCAAATAATCAACTTTTTTGTCATGTTGATGAAAATGATCCAAGTTTAAAAAGCTACAGCGGCTAAACGGCTAGGCCGAATTTGACGTATTTAACACCAATCGACACAGAATTGAATGCACTAAAAGATACCTTCGAACAAAATTTTCTGTATTATTAGTTATTTAGGAGTTATAAGTGAACAACTGAAAAAACTGCAAAATGTTCATAGTTTTTCGACTCCCAAAACTTAAGCAGACGTCAGAATCCGTGGAAAACTAACAGGACTCTTATTTGGGACCCCCAAAAGGTATTAAAACACTTTCCAGCTTTAGACGATTTTTGGGGGAGCATATGTCTAATTTGCCTGGGCTATTAAAGCATCATATGGTTTAGGTTTTAAGGATTTTTGTTAGGATGTCAGGCTCACCTGAATGGGAATGAGGAATACAATTCTTTGGCACAAGATCACAAAAATCTTTATACTTTACATACACAAGTTAAAATATTTCTCTATCACTAACTGCATGTTCAAAAAGGGAAGGTTGAAGGAAGAGAGATGTCTCCAGGTCCAAAAGTGGCAATAAAGTCTGCTTACAAGGTTGGATAGTGGATTGGGTTGTAAAATAAGATGCTATCTTAGGACACTTAGGTAGGGATTTGAGGTTTGTTTTGAGGTTCTTCTTGATTTGACACTAAGCCTCAGGAAGACATATTGAGAGAATGATAGTTTCGGTGGAACATATAGTGGTGGTGGATAATGCAGCAGTTCCAACTATATTTGTAAGTTTTAACATAACAGGATCAATAACACGGTTGCCAAACGGACAATGGCTCAGCAGATCCGCCAAACACTGTGAACAACTAATAGTTCTGAATAAAATGTGATCGAAAATCAGATTAAAGTTGTTAGTGGTTGTGTAAGGCTTGAAATGGGACGCTGCAATGAACTCTCAGCTACCTCGCTGAAAGAACAGGATACCTTAACCTGTTATTTGTGAGCAAAAAACAAAACATTCCCCTTAGATTCCTGGGAAACAACAACAACTTACGTATCTCTGGTGGCAATATGATAGATTGGTTGCATTCGAAGTCACTAATGGGGACAACTCAGTCATGGGCCCATTTTTGTTCATCCTTTTCACCAATGATTTTCCAGATTTCATTATGAATGAAAATTGTTAAACGGTAGTGCACGCTGATGACACAACTCTTCTATTTATGCATGACTTACCACAAGAATTATACACTCCAACATCTTATCCTCAACAGACAAAGCACTGCAGTACTGCCTCCAAAATGACCTGGCCATTAATCCATCAAAAACAACCCAGCTAAATTTTTGCCGAAAACATGAACAAATTCAAGAAATTCCTGAAATAACCGTTGAAAAAAACTCAAAACTGCATGGCCTGACAATTGATGAAGACCTCTTCTGGAACGACCACATACACAACCTGACCAAGAAACTTGCATCTGGGGTCTATGTAACTAAGAGGATGAAGTGGATAGGAGGTGAATCACATATAAGTTATGGCTTAATATCTTGGGGAGGAACATCTGTGGCAAACGTCAACAAAGTACTGGTGCTCCAGAAAAAAAGCTGTCAGGGCACTCTCCGGCCTTGAACACTTAGACAGCTGCAGGGAAGCATTTAAATCCCTTAAGCACCTAACAGTGAAAGCACTCCATGGAGTTGTCCTGTACACAAAAAAAACTGAACCCTCCCAGAAATGATAATTTTCACTCCTACCATACCAGAAGAACAACCGACTACAGCCTACCAATCCACCACACTACACAATACAGCAGAAAACCCTCTTATATTGGCCTCAAAATCATAAACTCTCTTCCAAACAACCTCAAGAACGCAACAGGAAACCAACTCAAACAGCAACTCTGGATCTGGCTTGTGGACCTTTAGTAACTAATACTGATTAGAATAAGAATGCTCAAAGAACCCGGCACTATAATATTCAAGTGACTAACCTTGTTAACATATGACGCGGGACTGAGGACGAACATCGGTAGTGGGGACGCGACGTCATCTCCAAATACAGTGCAGCCACCACAACAAACTAAAATATTCCCCTGGCTGCTTCTTGAAGTATTAATAATTCTATATATATTACACTCGCCCCAAAATAAAATAAAACTTTTCCTCTGGCTTAGCTCAAAATAGTCCAATGCCAAGCCAAACATTTTAATTAAAATAAAATAACTCAACAAAACTTTTATTCCAGTCATTTCATTAATAACTCAGTTTAAATTGTCTCTACTAAACCAACTCATAAAACTCTCTTCAAAAACAAACTAAATATCTTCTAATTTCATTAGGCCTAATTTTACTACAAGTCAAGTTTCTTCGGCTTCCGTACGGTTCTTTGGGATCTTCTAAGTTGTGGTGATGGGCTGCACTGTATGCTGGTCTCCACTACCTCTTGATCCACTTGAGCTGACGGGAAGTCGGGAATGCTCACTCTTTTCGGGTACCTCCTTGGAGTTGGTTGCTTAGGAGGCTCGGGAGCTGGTTGAGGCGACATCCTCATTGGCGACTTGACTGGAGTGGTTTTCACAGGAGATTGTTGCATAGGCCTATTAATCATGATTCCTTCTTCTTCCTCCTCTAACTGGCTATGCCTGAGGTGATCCGCATGGCAAAACCTTGTTTTTCCCAACACCTTGACTACATATGTGACAGCACTACGTTTCTCCAAGATTCTACCAGGGACCCATGACACTTGTTCTTGTCGCACCGTTTTAACCAGTACATTTTCCCCTTCCACAAAAGACCTAAAACTACCGCAACGTCTGTCAGCGGAATTCTTCTGCATTTCCTTCCCCTTCTCAATCTGTGACATTAAGTGGGGTTTCAACAAAGCCAATTTGGTTCTTGGCTTCCACTGAAGAAAGAGCTCGGCCGGAGACAATCCGGTTACAGTACTATATACAAATAAGAAATTATCTAGTTTATGCTGCAGTGACACAGCTGTAGAACCTTCCGCCAGGACTTGTCGCTTGAGATTCTTTTTCACCTCTTGCACACATCTTTCCGCAGCTCCGTTTGAGGCTGGGTGGTATGGCGGAGACAATGTGAATTTCACGCCATTATTTCTCAGGAATTCTTTAAACTCGGTGCTTGTAAAATTAGGAGCGTTGTCACTCACCAATTCCTGGGGTAACCCAAACGATGCAAACAACGACCGCAACCTTACAATGGTTTTAGCAGAAGTAGTCGACTTCATGATAAAAACCTCGAGCCACTTAGAGAAGCTGTCCACTACTATTAACAACTGTTGCCTAGTTTGCGGCTCTTCGGCATAATCTATATGGATTCTTTGCCACCTACATGTAGTTAGAGACCACGGTTGCAAGGGAACTTTTGCAACTGCATTTCTGGTGCATTTACACACATGACAAGCTGAAACTGCATCCTCTATACATTTGTCTAAACCAGGCCACCAAACATAGCTCCTAGCCAGCATTTTCATACGGTTGATTCCCGGGTGCTGGTCGTGCAGCAGCCGGATCACCGAATTACGAAGTTTTTCAGGCACAACCACCCTAGCACCCCAAATCACACAATTATTATCCACCGATAATTCTTCCCTCCTTCTATAAAAGTCTAGTAACTCAACATCCTTAACGTCTGGCCAGCCATGC